ACAGGACTGGCTACGTATCCCCTCTTAAACGGGAATCAGGTCAAGCGTAGTTCAGTTATATCAGATGAATGAATGCAAATGATCTAAACATAGTATCTCTTGACTGCATCTGAATTGATGGGTTTTGGCCAAACTTCTCCGTCCATTTCTGCAAGTATGAGTGCTCCTCCTGTTAGCACCCAATGGACCATGTAAGGACCTCGCCAGTAGGGTGAAAATTTCCCTTTGGCTTCGTTCTGATGCGGGAAGATCCGCTTCAGCACCAACTGCCCCGGTGCGAATTGTCTTGGTTTGACCCTTTTGTTGAAAGCTCTGGACATTCTATTCTGATAAAGCTGACCGTGACATACTGCATTCATTCTTTTTCCATCTATGAGGGCTAGTTGATCATAGCGGCTCCTTATCCATTTTGCGTCACTAAATTCGGCTTCTTGTATGATCCTTAAAGAAGGAATTTCTACCTCAGCTGGAATGACACCTTCAGTACCGTAAACCAGTAAATAGGAAGTTGCCCCAGTTGATGTGCGGACCTTAGTGCGGGACCCCAATAGGGCAAAGGGTAACTTTTCGTGCCATTGTTTGTGATTTTCTACCATCTTCCTCAGTATCTTCTTGATCTTCTTGTTGGCAGCTTCCACTGCTCCATTCATTTGAGGCCTGTATGCTGTAGAGTTTTTGTGCTTGATTTGAAGGTTTCACACATGGATTTCTTTAGATCACTGTTGAGGTTGGCGGCATTTTCAGTGATAATGGACTCGGGAACCCCGAATCGACAAACAATGAGATCCTTCACAAAATTTGCGATGGCTTTCTTGGTTACGGCTTTGGAAGATGCAACCTCTACCCATTTTGTGAAGTAGTCGATAGCCACTAAAATGAATCGGTGCCCGTTTTGAAGCGGTTGGCTCGATTGGACCGACGACATCCATTCCCCAGGCAGTAAAAGGCCAAGGTGCACTTGTTGCATTGAGCTCGTTTGGTGGTACTTTTATCATGTCTGCATGTACCTGGCATTGGTGGCATTTCTGGACGTACCTGATGCAATCCGTTTCCATGGTCGTCCAAAAATATCCAGTTCTAAGTATCTTTTTGACTAGAACGGAACCATTCATATGTGGTCCGCAGGTTCCGACATGTATCTCCTCTACCAATCTGGAAGCTTCCTTTGCGTCAACACACCTTAACAATCCCAGATCAGGAGTTCTCCTATACAAAATTCCTCCGCTTAGGAAGAAATGATTGGATAGCCTACGCAGTGTGCGTTTCTGAGTATGGTTTGCCTGTTCTGGATATCCTCCTTTTGCCAAATATTCCTTGATGTCGTGGAACCATGTGTTCCCGTTCGTCTCTTCTTCAATATAAGCGCAGTAAGCTGGCTGATTATGGATCCTCACCGGGATGGGATCAATGAAATTCTTATCTGGATGTTGTATCATTGATGACAAGGTGGCCAGTGCGTCTGCAAACTCATTTTGGATTCTGGGCACATGTTTGAATTCTATCTTTGTGAACCTCTTCATCAGTTCCTATACATGATACAAGTATGGTAGTATCTTGGTGTTTTTCGTAGCCCACTCTCCTTAAACCTGATGTACCAGAAGATCGGAATCACCAATTACCAGTAACTCACGTATATTCATATCTATGGCCATATTGAGCCCCATGATGCAAGCCTCATATTCTGCCATATTGTTGGTGCACGGAAACCTAAGCTTTGCAGATACCAGGTAATGTTGACATGTTTTTGATACCAAAATTGCTCCAATGCCCACTCCCTTGAAGTTTGCAGCCCCATCGAAGAACATTCTCCAACCGTCGTAGGCTTCAGTAATGTCCTTTCCTATGAATGACACTTCTTCGTCAGGAAAATACATTTTTAGTGGTTCGTATTCTCCTCCCACAGGATTTTCAGCAAGATGGTCTGCTAATGCTTGTCCTTTGACTGCCTTCTGAGTTACATAGATTATGCCGAACTCACTTAACAATATCTGCCATTTAGCTAACTTCCTGGTTGGCATGGGCTTCTGAAAGATGTACTTTAGAGGGTCCATCATGGATATGAGGTGTGTGGTATAGGCACAGAAGTAATTCCTCAATTTCTGAGCTGTCCATGTCAAGGCACAGCAGGTGCGTTCCAGCAGAGAATACTGTGCTTCATAAGGTGTGAACTTCTTACTCAAGTAGTATATGGATTGCTCCTTTCTTCCTGTCTCGTCATTTTGTCCCAAAACACATCTGAAAGCTCCATCTAATATGGATAGATAGAGTATCAAAGGTCTCCCAGGTTCAAGCGGGACTAGGACTGGCGGTGTAGACAGGTATTCCTTGATTTTGTCAAAAGCCTTCTGACAATCTTCGGTCCAACTGGTTTTAGCATCTTTCCTCAACATTTTGAAGATGGGTTCACATATTATCATAGACTGTGCTATGAAGCGGCTGATGTAGTTGAGGCATCCTAGGAAGCTCATCACGTCCTTTTTGCTCTTTGGTGGCGGTAATTCTTGGATAGCCTTAACTTTGGACGGGTCCAACTCGATTCCTCGGCGGCTGACGATGAATCTCAACAGCTTTCCTGCGGGAACCCCGAATGCACATTTTGTGGGGTTCAGTTTTAGATTATACCTCCTTAGCCTGTCAAAGGACTTTCTCAAGTGTGCTATGTGATCTACGGCCCTCTTGGATTTGATGATGACGACGTCAACATACACCTCTATTTCCTTGTGTATCATATCATGGAAGATGGTCGTCATGGCTCTCATGTAAGTAGCCCTATCATTCCTTAGATCGAATGGCATCATCTTGTAGCAGTACACTCCCCACGATGTAATGAAAGCTGTTTTCTCTGCGTCTTCTTCGTCCATCTAGATCTGATAATAACCCGCGAAGCAATCTATAAAGGATTGGAGTTCATGCTTGGCACAATTATCGATCAGAATATGTATATTTGGAAGTGGGTAATCGTCCTTGGGACTTGCTCTGTTTAAATCCCAATAGTCAACACACACCCTGACTTTTCCATCTTTCTTCAGAACTGGTACGATGTTGGCTAACCAGGTTAGGTACTCAACTACCCTGAGGACTTTGGCTTTGATCTGCTTGGTGACTTCCTCTTTGATTTTTAGGCTCATATCTGGTTTGAATTTTCTGAGTTTCTGCTTCACCGGCGGGCACATTGGGTTGGTAGGCAACTTATGAGCCACTATGGATGTGCTCAGACCGGTCATATCATCATATGACCATGCAAAAATATCCTCATATTCTTTCAGGGAACGAGTGTACTCTTCCTTCTCTGACGGTGATAGGTGAATGCTTATGCGAGTCTCTTTGACGGTTTCGGAGTCTCCCAAATTGATTGCTTCGGTTTCTTCCAGGTTAGACTTAGGTTTATTCTCAAAGTTCTCAACTTCTCTAACAACTTCCTCAGGTATTTCATCCTCTTCTTCTGAGTCACTATCCTTATATTGCGTTGTCTCATTGCATGTCACAGTCATCGGTTCATCAGGGAAAGTAATAATAACGCTGTAGAAGAAAAAAATGTGAAAGATAATAATGAATAATAAATAGCAATGCATTAATTGAATTTGAAAATATCTAAAACAGGTACGGCTCGATGGCTCGAGCAATTATTTCAAAACAAAATGCGTCTTTAAAATAAAATTACTGAAAATATCTTAAATGCCTAGCATGGCTAAAAATAAATCAGGCTAATTGCCATGCTACCTAGGAACTCGGCGGGCCAGGGATGGTGTGGCAGTCCAATTCTTGAGAACGACTCCCTTCTCCATAGTCTGAATGGTGAAGCCTTCTTCCTCCTCCTCCTCCTCCTCCTCCTCCTCAACTATCGCATTGCAATCCATATCCTTGTCTTCTAGGAACTTGTTCCTTAGCCCAACCAAAGCTTCTTCCTCTGCAGATCCCATATTGTATCGGCCTGGTGAAAAATCTGACTCAGATGTGGCACTGGCTGCTCGAGAGGGTAATAAGGACCACGCCATGGTGGCGACCAATCATTATATTCTTGCCAGGTGTATGGATATCCTAGCCCGAAAGTTATGCCGTGACGTTTCAACTGTATCGGTTTGGTAATGCCCTGGAGTTTCTTCCCAAGCCCTTTTCCAGGTTCATACCCAGACCATGCCAGTATGCTTTCTATTTTGTTACTCCACCACTTGTTCTTCTCAATTGCATTGACATGTTCAATGTGGTGGTAAGTTTCTCCACCCAGCCTTCTTCTATTCCCGATAACCGGGATAGTTTGACTGCTGTAAATGTGGTTACTTCTATCTTCGTGAATGATAACCTCCTGATGGTTCCATTCGAACTTCACGGCCTGGTGCAGCATGGAAGCCACAGCCCCAGCAGCATGTATCCAAGGTCGACCCAATAGAAGATTGTATGTAGTTGATATGTCTAGTACTTGGAACTCAACATCGAACCAAGTTGGTCCCATTTGCAGACAAAGGTTAATCTCCCCAATCGTAGCTCTTTGAGACCCATCAACACTACAAGAAAAAAGGCCTTTAGCGGCAATAAATATTCATTTTAGTGGCAACATTTATTGCCGCAAAAACTTTTACCGGCAATCAATTATTTGCCATTGTATCCAGCGTCGCTAAAGCTTTTAGCGGAAATTATATCGAGTGCTGGTAAAGGTCCTAATTATTGCCGCTAAAAGTTCGAATTTTTAGTGGCATTTAGTTACCGACAATTATAATAGCCACTAAAATTGCCCCTCAATTTGCCTTTTATTCTGCTTTAACAACATTTGTTATGGCCGATCAATATCCATTTTATTGCTGATAAATGTACTTTTTAATAGCCATTATAATAGCAATTGAATATATACCCAAATTTGCCATTATACTACTCCTAATATTTAATAGCCTTTCTTTTGTATGCAATTCCAACATCATAAAAATATGTCGCATTCAAGAAAGCATTAAAATATTTTATTCATAATGTATAGAAACAACTACTAATACATAAATTTAGAGTATCAACATATAAGAAAAATACGTCATTGGAATCCAATAATAGTTGTTTCTCCTTCTACAAGCCTAGTTCCATACGGTGTCAGTTTTAGCCTCCAAGGGCATCATCATATTTAGATTTGGAACAAAGCATTTATTCTCTAAATCGACATTTCTGCCCCACATGAATCAGATGATACCGGGTCGTCATTCATTGTGTCTTGACAAGGCTAAACAAACACGGTCGATTCTTGATGACTCCAGCAAATTGCATCCATTAGACAGTGACTTTGAAGCCACGTTATTTGTGGATTATAGCTTCAAAGTAAACTGCACAATAGAAGTTGTTCGAATACTTACAGCATCTACTCATGAAAAGAAATTAACATATATGCAGTCGAAGTTAGACTGTGAAGGTAAAAATAAACGTTGATTCTCTCCAACTTTGTACTCTTAGCTCTTTGTTTATTGAGCATCACATGTGACTAGGTCCGGTTAATTGGTAAAAACACACATTCAGACACAAAAAAAATGAATTCAATTTTTGGAAAAATATAAAATAATAAATAATGCACAAATAGTTAACTTCAGCCGAGAAGCAAAACTAATATTGCATAATTTCTTTAACTGTTCGTGCAAGGGATGTTGCAGCCTCTCGATAATGCACAACTCACTGCAAGTACAAATGACAAAAATAAATGTCTGAACAAAATTTTATGGATACAATGATCTTCACATCAGTTTTCAATTGTAAAATATAAACATAGCTACTAATGGATAACACAAACTATTAAAATATTTAAGGCTTTCCATACATGTTAGATGCAATTCCAAATTTATTTTTTCCCAACTCACAAAAATCACACTGCTACATCACCTCCCAACTTTGTAATTTAAAGAACCATCGATACTCCATCATTTCTTAATCTAATAAACTTGAACAGATATTTCTAAGAAAAAATATTGGTGCTCTAAATTTTGTATTTCAAGTGAAAGATATATGATATACTGTCCAATAGAAGGCTTACTAAATACTCGCAGTAGATATCATATCACTTTACGCTAAGAATCAAGAACTACGATTTCTATCGTTTTGTATTCTTTGGATACTTCATTTTATACAGATCACTCACAAGTTAATGCACAATATATATTTTATTCTTCCTTAAGAAAGCAAAAAAGCTTTCTAACCAAGGAGTAAAGAGTCCACCTTGACTGATTTAAGGACTTTGAACACTAAAGAAAATCAAAAGTCTTAAGGTTATAGTAACCCCAATATAACTCACGATCAAAGAAATTAACACTTCTCAGGATATGAATGTCATCATATTTATATATCTTTTAATATTGACAAAAATAGGTCAGTTCAGGCCCTAGGAATATTGTTCAAAAGTCCCATTTAAGTTGCAATTTCAAACAAAACCTATCGTGTCTCACTAAAAATTTTATTACTTAAGTATAAGCTAAAAAAGAAATGACAGCATGCTGCATGGAAACATAAGGCAGGCCAAGGTGCCTATGGAAATAATTCATACCTGAGCAGTTCGGACATCTTGAGCATAAATTGGTGAAATCGTGGTAACACTATTAGAAACACAATTGCACCCTGCAACAAGAAGAACCATATCCACTGCATATTAAAAAAATTGAAAGGAAAGGAGCCACCCAAGATAAGTTATAACAACTTATCATTAGAATCTTGCTACCTTCACATGATTTATTCCATCACTTGCTTAATTGTCCTGCATTCTATCTGGCTTGTCGAATGATAAGCATCAAGACTGCAAGATATTTAACGCTGATGCTGGTGCAGCCCATTTCTATTGCCACAAAGAGATCCCAACAGAGTGGTTTCTTCATGAAATAATAGAATCTTGAATGTATAAAAAGTAGCAGCAAAAGATGTTTGCCAATTAGTTGTAGAAAAAAATTAACAAGGATTTACGGAAACATCAAGAACAAGGTGTTGATCCGTTTGCGAAAAATGTGAATGAACAACCATTAGATAGTTAAAAATGAAGAAGCCTCTTTCAGATTCATCTAATTGAATATTTATATAAAAAAGTGCGGAACTAACTTTCGCGGCATTAATAGACCAGTTGAAGCTTTTACACTAGATAGAGTTCATCGACATCTATGCAGTGTATCGATCAATTATTTTTACACTAGCAGAACTACTAGAAACTACTATAGTTTTCCAATATTGATGCTCTGCTAGATGCTACTGTACAAAGTAATACATATGTGAATTACATAGATACTAAAATGTATGTTACTAAACATCACAATAGGCTATAATAATATCCACAAAGCACATTAACAAAGGCAATTTTTGGTAACTAAATGTGCTCACGATAAGAAATTTAAATGCATACTTGAATTTGTATCTAGAGTGTGTGTCTGCAAGAGGTTTCAAGTGACATCCCCACGTTGAAAATCCAATTACCAAATTAAATCTTATTTTCCACAAGACCAAATTCATGAAATTACACCTTGAATTTCACCTTCTCTTTTTTATCGTTGCATCATAATATGAATAAATTCTGAGTTTGAAATATCAGTATAGATCCTAATGTAAAGTATATCGGACTAAACAAAGAAAGTTTAATTTCATAAGACTTACCGCAGAAGGAATAAAAAGTAGATAAGGTAGAAAGTACAATTTTAATTTTGATAAGTCATGAAACCCTAGCTCCTAGTGAGCGATCGAATGTATATTTGGCGCACATTTAATCTGATCGATGTAACTAGAAACACAAAATCACACTAGGAATAAGTCAATAAGTTTGTTTACAAGCTCCAAATTCTATGCTTCAGAAAGAAAAAGCCATCCAAAATGAAGAAAAAAAAGCTAGAAAAAAAAAAAAAGATAGACAGAGAGAGAGTGGACAGATATTACCTGGTGATGGTGGCCGACAATAGTGCGAGATGATTTGGGTGCCGACGATAGAGAGAGATATACATGAGGGGTCTAATCAATTTTGTGCATCTCTCTTCTCTGGCAGAGATGATAGTTTCTCAATTTGGGGTGAATGTATCCTTTCGGGAATATTTCATAGGGAAACAAATAAAGAGAAGATTAAAATCAACTTTAGGAGTAATTTTTAGTGGCTATTACTTTGACTTTCCAGTAAAGAAGCACTCTTTTCTGGCCAAAGTTAAATAGCCGCAAATATTTGTGTTTACATAATAAAGTAGCTGCAATTATTTAATTGCCGCTAAATAATTGCCACTAAAGGACTTTTTTCTTGTAGTGCAAATGCTTTCACGTTCATACTTCCTGCCCGTATCTCATGGAAATCTCTGCCCAACCTTTTCAGAGTAGTCAGTGGACAAATGTTGAGGCTTGAACCCCCATCTATTAAGACCCTAGCGATAAATTTGTCCTCAGTACTGTGATATGCAATGCCCTGTTGTGACCTAATCCTTCAGGTGGTAGTTCATCTTTGTGGAAGGTGATCTTGTGACAGTACTTGCCCTACCATGTTGGCCATCTCTCCACTGGTGATATTATTGGGCACATAAGCTTCATTCAACACCTTCATTAGAGCACTCCTATGTGCCTCAGAATTTTGCAATAGCGACAGGATGGATATCTGGGCGGGAGTCTTGTTTAAATGATCGACGACAGAGTATTCTCTTGCCTGTACTTTCCTCTAAAGATTGTCTGGTCCAGTTTCAATGACAGGTTGTTTGGTAGCAGCCTCGTTGCTTGGTCCTCCCAAATTTTCGGGTGTATAGATCCTTCCAATTCTGATCATCCCTTGTGCGGCACCAGATTCTTCCATCTTTTCTTTTCCCTTTCGCCTAGCTTCGACAACGTAATCCCAAGGTATGGTGTTGGACTTGAAAGGAGGTGTGGTTTCTACTGTCACTGTGAAAAGTGTGGCCACTTCTACCTCTAATGGAACAGGTATGGCTGTAGGTGGTGCTGCCTCTACCTCAAATGGAACCGATGCGGTTGCCTCAACCTCAACTGGCGGTTGTACCTGCACCACAATAGGATTAAGCGTGACTGCGGGCTTCTTAGGATTATCACCCTCTTTGATAAGTTCGATTGATCCCTCGGGATCCCACTCCTCGTCAGTTTCTATCACATTGATCCCTTCGCTCCTATGATCTAGAAGAGGTTGTTGCGGACGTTGGGTGTGGCCTCCTTCGCCTGTATGATTTCATTATCAATCAATGTCTGGATCTTATCTTTCAATGTCCGACACTCGTCAATAGTATGCCCTTTCATACCGGAATGATATGCACAGGTTTTTTCGGGCTGACCCATTGAGATGAATTCTCCATTGCCACAGCGGGAATAGAGGTGACATAACTAGCAGCCTTCAATCTTTCGTACAACTGGTCGATGGGTTCAACAATGCCAGTGTACTGTCTAGGTGGTTTGCAATAAAAATTAGGTCTGGGTTTCTCGTAATTTGGACAAGTTGGAGGTGAATAATAGTAGGTTGGCTGGGTGTTATAAGTGTGATAGGTGGTGGCGGGTTGAGAATATATGAGTGGTGAGGGTTGGTATGTAGGTGGAGGTGTTTGGTATGTGAGTGGAGATTTTGGGCCTTGGGCCACCATCACTGCCCCTACTTCTTTCTTCTTTGATATGCCACCTAATTGCAATGCTTTGTTCGTGGCTTGCAGTGCCTCGAAATTTGTAACCATCCCACTTTTAATACCCTCTTCAATCCTTTCTCAGAGTTTGATGATATCGGAGAACTTATGATTCTCAATAACCATTAGCCTTTCATAATACTGTGGGTCCTGTGCCCGGACAAAGAACTTGTTCATCTATTCCTCGTCTAATGCTGGTCTGACCTTGGCTGCTTCTGACCTCCACCGAGTAGCATACTGCAGAAAAGTCTCGGTTGGCTTCTTTTTAGGTTCTGGATATAGAAGACATTTGGTGCATTCTCCGTATTGAACCTGAATCGGTCCATAGAGTTTGATGCCATACTCACCCAATTGGCCCACTTCTTAGGATTCTGGCTTATGTACCAGGACAGGGCATCTCCGGTAAGACTTCTCATGAAGAGCTTTATTTGAATCCTTTCATCTTCTCCGACCCCCACGAGCTTGTCACAATAAGTTCTCAGATGAACCCGTCAAATATTTCGAACTTGGGAGGTTTGTAACCCTCCAACAGTTCCACATCTGGTTGTATGCATAAATCCTCATAGTTCAGACCCTCTATCCCTTTACCTCCTTCAACACCCTGAACCCGACTTGGCAACTTCTTGAGTTCCTCGGCCATGTTCTTGATGAGTAGGTCCTTCTCGGCAGATTCTGGTGTATAGGAGATTGGTTGAGTGGAGTGAGGTAAGGTTTCTATGTATATAGGGTTGTTTTGGTGGGTGCCAGGGATTTGGGCATAGTGGTGGTCATTGGTCGAGTTTTGAGGATCGGGAATGGGTTATGGTGTGTTTTGTGGAGTGTGATAGGTAGTGGTTTGTGGGTACTGGGTAGGAAGATGTTGGTGTTGAGGAGAAGTGGGTACTGGTGGAGGATTGGGATTTTGAGGAGGAGTTGCATATTGATGGGGTGCTGGAGGATTTTGTAGATGTTGGTTTGGCGTATTTTGAGGAGGTGCTGGGTTTTGAGCATTTTGTTGGTTAATGTCTGGGACGTTTAGGGTGAGGGGGAGGTTTGTCAAGTTGCGGACCTGCTCAAGTTCCCCTGTAACTCCAGTATTTTTTGTTCCAATTGCAAGACCAAATCATTCTGGGCCGGAGTACTCTGACTTTCTGAAGTTTCGATGTTCTCAGCATTTTCTTTTCGGATGCCACTCAAATCATCCATCATGGCTTTTCCTCTGCTTTTTGGATTACTCGGAGGAGGAGGAGGTGGAGGGCCTCTAGATCTGGTGTGATATGCTGATGATGCCAGTATGTGCGAACCAACCTTAGGGGATGGGAATAAAAAAATACAAAAGGTACACAAGTCAGTAAGGATTCTGAAAATGTTTGTAGTATTTAAACACATATTTCGGGAATGTAAATTCGCGTCCTAGTTTGGGAGCCTCGTTGTGCCCGAGGTAGGCCTAGCGACACGTTGATTTGGAGAATTTCAGTGCCAATAATTGCCTCATTTCATTAATGTAAAAATAGATGAATCTAAAACAACACTAAATAAGATAAGTCACTGATGGCACTTGGCCTTACTACATTTGAAAAAGTAAATAAACCTAATCTACTTGGTCCCAGAAGGACCTTCTCCAGGCTGGATGTTCTTGACTTCGTCGATCGAATTCCCCAGTTAGCGCAGGTTCAGCAGTAGGTATGCCCTTGCTAAATGTCCTCCTTCACTTCCTTCGGTGTTCAGGCAATCAGTGACTCTCTTCCTCATTTTCCCTCCGATTCCATCAGACTGCACTCCAGATATTCCAACCTTTCGCTTAATTTAACAGTCATCTCCCTCCATTTATTAATTAGTTCCATGTTGGTCTTGTGTCGCTCCCGATGCTCGGCCTCGGACTCGTGAACTCTTTTGCGCAGTTTGTTATACTTGACTTGTACCTCGACAACTTCATCTATGACTCTATTTCCTGGACCAACCCTTGGCTCGAATATTCCTGCTATGTTGTCTTCCAACCATGATGGGTAAAAGTACACATGACCGGCATGATACCGATCTGGCTCGATGGTATCCTTTTCCAAGATAATTTTCAAATGCCACATATGATGAGCTTCGTATTTGTATGGGACGTCGTCATCCTGAAAATCTGCCCTGTAGTGACTCATTTTAGCAACTCGCGGTATGACCTGCTTCCTGCCTGCATGTCTCATAACCCTGATGGGAGCATAAGGGTATATGCCCCTTAACCCGAACAGCACCAAATACGGAACATCCCTAGATCTGATGATGAACTCGTCGGTAGGGAACCATTCGAACATCCATTGAACCTGATCCTCGGTCAAATTGCTGAAAAGCCGCGCCCACCCTGTAGCATTTTCGGGTTGAGCAAACCTGTCTGGTATATAAGTCATTCTCTTAGGATGATGGAAAGCTATGTGATCATTCCACGGGCTTTCGCGGAAGCTCTTGACGGTATTGACCATTTTGGAGATGCTCTAACAACCAAACTTGTAGCAGCATATTACAACCTTCGAAGTATTTGTACCCCTTCTGATAGCGCTCTAAGGCCCGGTATATGTCTGCTATGATCATAGGGACAATGGTATATGTCTGCCCCTCGATCCCATCCATCAAGGTTTTGGTTACCATGGCCAGTCTGGTGTGGATTCTGTCCCCTTGGATCAGGAACACTAACATACCCAAAAAATGGACGATGAACACAAAAGCCCCCTATTTCTTCCAAGAGAGGGGTCATTTCTATGTTTCCAAAGCGAAACACAGCACTTTCTTTGTCCCAGAACATTATGGAAGCTTCGATTAACATGTTGTTCGGCTGGAGGTCCAACAAAGAAGGCAAATTTCCCAAGACCCTTTTCACATGATTTTTATCACTTGATGGAAGATCCTCCCACCAATCTAGCAACAATGGTGGTATGTTACGGACCATGACGAACCTGGGGACTTCGTGCCTCATTTTCTGCAAAACAAATATGGTTAGGCCCTTTCCCCCGCCAGATTAGACTATTTATACAATAATGATTAGCGTATTGGACTTGTTTCTCCAAAATTAATGCATAAAATCGTGGTTGCGTCCGTTGGGATTATGGAAAACCCGATGGACTTTTGGACGAGGCTTGTCTTAAAGGGTTATTATGCGGACAACATGTTAACCCGGCTAGGTTTGACCATGATGCATGTACAATTAATCGGAGTAAGGTTTCTATAGAGGTCTATACTGGTACCCTCAAGTGGACAACTTGAGGGAGGAAAGGCACGGAACCGTCGACTGCACCGCTGATCGACTAGTTTTACCGCAAATACGCCTTTTCAAATTTAAAGGGTGATATTTAGGAAGGGCGCAAACACTCATCGAGTGTTGCTATGCGATTGATTACACATGAGTGGAATATGATGTTGAGCATGATTTATGCAACAATAAATAGCATGTTGTCACGTATTTGCAC